GAAAAGAAGTATTTATAATATTTAATAGTTATAACTAAATTACTATATAGAAATCGCTAAACTACTATATACAAATTAAGTAAGTCTAAAATAAAGAGTATATTTATTATTACTAAAATTTATATAAATAACTATATATAATATATAATAAGTACTTATACTAATTTATTAAAATCTTAATTAGACCTTATATCTTAAGTATATACTTTAAGCTTAATAATTATATTTTATTATATTATTATAATAATAACTAAAGTAATATTTTTAAACTATTTAGCTAATTTATTAATAAAATATAAGCTCTCTCTTTTAATAAAGACTAAGTTATATTAAAGTATTTTCTTAATAGTTAGAATAGCTTTAATTTTTAATTCTAAAGGTAATTAATAAGTATATATATTTATCTTTAATAATATAAGCTATTCTTACCTTAAAGTATAAAATTATATAATAAAATAAGGTTAATAGATAATACTTATTAAATTACTAGAATATTAATATATAGTAGTTTAGTAATTTTCGTATAATGATTTAGCTATAGCCTATTTAATATTATCTTTTAAAAATTATATAAAATTAGAAGTAACTTAAACTTTAAAAGTATTTCTCTTATAAGTATATATATAAATCTATTATATAAGATAGATTAATTTCTTACTATATTTATATCTAATTAATATAAAATAGTTAAAAAGTAAAAAAAAAGCTTAAACGTATAATATAAATAATATATTTAATAGTTATAATAATAATTTAAGTAAGCTATTTAATACTAAATAAGAAGATCTTACTTTTTAAAGTTAAGGTTTAAAACTTATTATTAAAACTAAAATAACAAAAAAATCTTAAGAATTATCTAATAAAAAAATAGTTTATTTAAGATACTTACTTAAAGATAAAAACTATAAATAAATATAAGTATTAAAAGCTAGTAGAAGTATATAACTCTAAGCTAATAAGCTTACTTATTCTTTTAATACAAGTATTAAAGTATAAAGTAAATAATAATAAATATATTAGTTAATATTAATCTTATATTATTATTTATAGAAATCTCTAAAATAAGAATATAATTATATTAATATATATAAGTATACTCTTAGTAAAGTTATTTTATATAGTTATAGCACTTATAGTAAAATTTAACTTAGAAATTAAGTGCTTTAATATAATTAATACCTTTATTAATACTTTTAAAGATATTAATAATAAAACTATATATTATTAGTTCTCTTTTAAATTCTAAAAGCTTAGCTTTATATTATAGGTTAATTAAGCTTTTTATAAAATAAGAGACTTATTATACTTTTCTTTAATATTATTAATATATAAGACTATTATTACTATATATTACTAGCTTCTTATAAGATAAATATTATACTCTTAGACTTTATTTTAAGTCTAAACTATAAGATTAAACTAAAAAAAGATATTAACTATAAGTATAACCTTTTATATTAATAAAATAAAATAAAACTATAAGTAATAAAAAGTACTTAAAAGAGAACTTAAATAAGAGATTTATTATCTTAAGTTATACTTTATTTACTTACTTAATTCTTTTTATAAAAAAGCTAGATAAAAGCTCATATTTTTATATTAACTATTAAAAGCTAAAGAAAATTACTTAGAAAAATAAGTATCTTTTACTTCTAATTAATAAAGTCTTTACTTAATTAAGTTAAGCTAGAATATTTATAAAGATTAATATTTAAAGTATGTTTTATTAAATCTATATAAATCTTACTTTTAAAAAATATGTTATCTTTTATACTTAATATAAGAGTTATAAATATAAAATAATATTATTTTATTTAATAAATAATATAGTTATATTTTAATAACATATAAATAATATACTTTTTAATTACTTAGATAATTTTTATATTACTTACTTAAATAACTTCTTAAAATATAAGAAATATACTAAAAAGGTATTCTAATACTTATAATAATATAAACTTCTTATAAATATTTTAAAAAATAAAGTTCTATATAAAGAAGATTAAGTTCTTTAACTTTTATATTATTATTAAAAGTATCAAAATTAACTTTAAAGTAATAATATATATAAATAACTAAAAACCTCTTATAACTATTTAAAAAGCTTAGTTATTTCTAAGATTTTATAACTTTTATTAGAAATATATTTTAATTATAGTAAAATAATTAAATTATTAATAGAACTTATTAGAGTCTTAATTCTATTTAAGATAATACTAGCTTAGTTAGTTATATTTTAAGCTTTAAAAGAAGCTATTTTATTTTTAACTTATTTTAAATACTATAATATATTATAAGAAATATAAATTAAAGCTAATATTTTTAATAAAGTTATTTTAAAGATATTATTTTAAAGAAATTATTATAATTAATACTTAGTAATATTTCTATTTAAGACTATAAATATTATAAAACTTAACTATAATATCTTAATAAGATAATAGTAGTTATTATATAATCTTTTACTTCTTAAAAGGTAAAATTAATATTTTTAAGTATTTTCGAATTATAAACTACTAGAATACTTTATAATTACTAAGAAGCTAACTAAATAATAAACTTACTAGTTAAAAATTCTTATAGACTTTTACTTTATTATTATATATTACCTAAGAAACTAGAATATAATAATAAATATATTATTTTAATAAAAATAAGATATTAATAAATAAATTAAAATAAAAAAATAAATTATATACTCGAACTTTAATTTACTTAAGTTAGTTAAACTTATATATCTTAAATAAACTAAAAAAGCTTCTAGATATATACTACTTAGCTTTACTTAAATTTAAACTAAATAATAAAACTTATTTATATTAATTATACTTATAAGACTTTAATAGTTTAATAGAAAGAATATAAAGAACTTAATTTATAATATATACTTATTTAGCTTATTTTATATTAAGTATTACTAATTAAGTATACTTAAAGATATAATTAGGTTTATATTAAATTATTTAACTTATAAGTATATAAACGATTATTAAAATAAGAAACTAGGTTATTTTATCTTTAATTTATCTTTAATTACTTATAATAATAACTAATTATAGACTTTAGAAGCGTACTAAAGAATAAGCTTAAATATAACTTAATACTTATTATATAGAATAATTCTTAAAGGAAATAATATTAATCTTATTATTTTCTATATATATAACTTATAACTTAGTATAGTTATTTATTATTAACTATTAGAAGTTTAATAAACCCTTAAGAATTATAATATTAAATATATATTATATTTAAATAAATAACTAAATAAAGATTATAAACTAATACTTAAACTAATACTTTTAACTCTTTATTAGTTATTATTAAAATAATTAGTTTAAGCTTTTACTAATAATAAATTATACTTAACTAACTTTATTATATAAGTCTTTAAAATTATTCTTATATTAATTAAAATATAAATATAAACTATAAATAGGTTAAAATTATTAGCATTATATTAATAAATAAATAATAAGTATATATTAATATATATTAAAATCTAAGGTTTAATTTAAAAGTATTTAAAAGTATATATTATAAAGAGTATTTAAAAGTTAAAATATATATTTTCTTTTAAATAGCTCTTAGTTTATATTTAAAAGAGATTCTACTTTTAATTAAAATTACTTACTTCTTTTAATTACTTCTTATATTTTTATAATATAAGTTTATAAACTAATAAAAATAAAAATAAATTATAGCTGAAAACTAAATTAAATTATTATTAAAAAGCTAAATATTATAAATACTTAATTACTTACTTAATAATATAAGTAAATCTAAAAGAAAACCTAGAGGTTACTCTAGGATTAATAGAAGAAAAAATAATAGGATATAAATAAGTTATATTAAAAAGTTAACTAAAAAGTAAGTGAATTTATTAAAATTACTATAAAAACTAGAATATATATTATTTAAAAAGGAAGTTAAATAACTAATAAGTAGACTTATTTAAAGTTCTTAAAAAAGAAGATTACTTATTTTACTTAAATCTCTTTACTTTTATTAAAGTTTACTTTATTTCTTTAATAAATAAGCTTTACTAGTATAATAATAACTTACTTTTTAAATACGTATTATAAAAATAAAAACTTATCTATATAAATATAAAATAAAAATAAAAAGTTTAAGATATCTTAAGTATTTATTTTAAATAAAATAGAATACTATAGTATTAAGTTAATTAAAAAGGACTTAACTTTATCCTAAAGTTTTATTCTAGTAGAGACTTAATAACTTACTTATATAAGCTTTAGGACTTTTATTAAGCTTATCTTTTAAAACTAAGACTATTTAAGTTATTCTTTTAATAGTTAATCATATAAAAAACAGATAATAATATATTTAATAGTTTAATAGATAATATAATAATATCTTAAGTAAACTATAAGAAAAAAAAGTTTAAAGATAAGCTTTTTACAAAGAGAAAAGTAATATAATAAACTAATTATAATTAACTAGTTATATAAGTAAAGCTAATATTATAAAGCTATAAGACTAAAGTTATATAATAAACTTAAGATTAGCTTAGTTTACTAGTAGCTATATTTCTCTTACTTATTCTTAAGGCTCTTTAAAAACCTCTTCTTTTTATTATCTTTTTTACTTTATATTATAACTACTAATAAATCTTTGTTATACTATTATACCTACTACTTTTAAGAGATTAATCTACGCCAGAATCTCCGACAGATATTCTTCTAATCAAGGTATCTTTACAAGAGTGATTCTGCGAGTAATATAGAATAATAGGATATCTCTTCTACTCTGTCCGGTTTTTTTCACCAGACTTGGGTTACTGTAGAATTGAGCCTTTAATAGACAACTTCGCTATTGTTGCTTCTCTATCGAGAATAGAGTAATTCCTCTTAACCCGAGAGGCAGATAGATGCAGCGCGATATCCTCTCCGCATACGTCCTCTAGTCTGCGCTTGATCACCTACGATGCATCCAAAGACAGAACGTATTCTTCTTTTTCAAAAAGGTTGTGAGATGAACGAAATCTGAATTCTAATAGCTCTAGTTTTGATCTGATTTCTATGTTACTTTGGCGGAGCCAAGATATCAATATGGAGTTCATTTGGATACATCGTTCCCGGTTCGAAGCCTTCATCTTCATGCTGTCCCACTACCTTTTTCTGTCTCGGGCTTTTTGACAGAATTCCAGTCCATGCCTATTGCAGCCACCATTCCCAAACAAGTTACGGCTACACAGCTCCAAAAAGTTTGTGTCACAGCGGAATTATAGACCTCGGTCACTTGTTCCCTTAGCAGTGTCGGAACAGTTGCTATGAGGTTTGTTGCCCCTTGTTTAGTTATGCCATCAACGTCGATGCCAGGTAATTGGGATAGGCCCTGGCGAAGGAGGTTCGTGAAAATGGTTTGTGAGATGGATATGAAAAGAGCAGCACCGGTACTAATGGCAAACGCAATAGCTGTCATTCCAGCTGGGATGTCTTCCACCGGAAGCGCAGTCTGGGCAGCCGACCAAGGTTGCGGAATTGCGAATCCCATACCGAACCCGTAGGTGACTTGCCATCCTATCCATGATGAGCGTCCTGTGTTCGGTTTGAAGCTTGTGAGAAACCCGAATCCAATAGCCATCAACGTGGACCCGAGCAACATGAGAGGTGTGTAGTATCCAATTGCGGAAAGTATGAAGCCAGAGCTGATGGCAGCAACGGAAAGGGAGATGATGGACGGGAGCAGCATTTGCCCAGAGGCGGCTGCCGAAGCGTTCTTTATTGCCTGGAACCAGATAGGTAACTTGGGACATACCTATTAGCCGGGTCTATTTTGCCATTTATTTGAGAGTGACTTACGAAATAATCTGTAAGATTGAAAGATGCTGAGGCACAAAAGGCATACAGAATGCACAGTCCCATGGTCTTGTTGAACAAAACCGAGCGAGGGATAATAGAATTCTCCTTACGCATCGACTCCAGGGTAGCAAAAGCCGCAAAGGTGATTGCAGACGCCATCAAAAGACAGACGACTCTGCCGCTCTTCCAACTGTACGTAATACCACCCCATTGAAGAGCTAGTAGCAAACATACGATGCTTCCGGAGAACACAAAGAGGTGTTGAAAATTGAGCTGCTTGAGTTTGAAACCTACCGAGCCTTCAGGAATCTTCTGATTCTTCGAGTTCTTGAGGCAAAAAACTAGAACAACAATCGTGAACCCACCTACTGGCAAATTAAGCCAGAAACTAATCCATCAATGCGACATTAGTACCAATTCTCGGTAAGACAGATAAGTTTCCTTACCACCATCTCCAGCTAACATATGTTGTCAAAGCACCTCCGATCACTGGTCCGACGATAGATGCAATGCATTCAAGAGCCCCAACTGTGCTATTATAAATCGGTCTCAACCGAAGAGGAACAGAATGAGCGATGGTGCTAATACACATATAAGCTAAGTGCATAAAAATGGGTACAGGAATCACATGAAAACCCCCGTAACAATTCCAGAAGCGCCACAACCTGAAATAGCCCTTCCGCTTATGAAAGCTGCCGAGTTGGGCGCTGCGGCAGACACAACAGATCCAAGTTCAAGGATAGCGACTGCCATGATCAAAATCCATTTCACTCGAAATTGTTCGTAAAGTTTGCTGTAAAAAAACCGAGTCGAAGATATCGTGAGCCGGTCTACGGATTTCATCAGCTCAAAAGCTAGGGCGCTGATAATGTTCCCTCAAAAGCACCTTGTAAACATACAGGCTGAGCCGTACCACCCAATATCTGCCAAAGCATGGAATTCATTCGATATAGTGACCGTTGATGTCCCTACGATGGTGTTGTCCTTGAGACTTCTGTTTAGCGGAGGTTGGATACGAGGCGACGAAAACTTACGAGACCTATAATGAAAATCGCAAGACCCAAGGCTATCGCAATAGGAATCAATTCCCACATCCCAAGGTACTCTGGGTCGTCTCTGTCCGTTTGTGAATTTGGTGAAAGTGCCCCCGCCACATCTGTACTATTGTTCAATTCTTCTTTGCTTGTCAGCGAACCAACTTTGCTATCACTGGCTCTGATAACTGCTTCTGTAGAGTCCATCTCGAGGAAGAAAAATAAGTATTCAGAGTTGGCAAAATATACAGAAGATGCCTCTAGCGGGTTTCCACAGACACAGACGAGAGCTTGAATGAGCAGGCAAGTGAGCTCAGCCGGCTATTATTGACGCCAAGATACTGTGACCTTCCTTGTTGGATTGATGAGCGCGAGCTCGTCCCAATTTGGACTTGCATGCTGCGGTACAACGATAACAAGTCCACCACTGAAATAAGCGAGTTCCAGGCATACACACTATGCTGGGTTCTCTCTCAAAAGATAATATTCAATGAACTACCCGATATATTTCAATAGTATAACTACTACTTAATTAAAAGCTTACTTTACTAAATAACAGTCTACTCTACTACTATAATACTAGTTTAATTATTAGAGCCTATTAGTCTTTTAATTATATTATTTCTTAAGATATCTACTATATTATATAACTATTTATAATAAGAATACTAAGTAAACTTAGAAACTAATAGACTTAGTTAATAATAATACTATACTAGCTAGTAGAGTAGTGGAATAGTATATAAGAATATAGCCTAGACACTAGGTTTCTGAGCCTAGCTAATATCACAATCTGTACGCTCCCTACTCACTTGTATAGCCTATTGGCAAGGATCATCCCATTGGAAGTTGCAACATCCGGGTCAGGGTAGCTATAGAGTAAAGAACCGTCAGCGTTACGCCTCCAGGTACAGATCAGAAAGATGGAATAATTCAAGAACAGGGAGGTGGTCTGAGCAGGACAGAAGCCCAGCTCCTCCCTGGTCATCTGAGGAGAAATAACAGAAGTCGGAGAAGACTTACTACCAAGCTGCGACCGCTATAATCATATAGACAATCTAAAAGATGTCAATAAACAATGCCCAGTGCTCTATCCATGGAGCGCTGTAAGGGTTGACTTACAACCAATAAGCCACCTTCAAGAGCATTTGATTCCCCATCACGGAGAAAGTTTCCAACGACTGAGATAGACAAAACAAGTAAAACAACCATAAAGATCTCAAAATTCAGATCCATTGGTTTACCCAGAACCCAGCCGACGATTACAACCAATGGAGCGTTGAAAAGAGCAGTCTGGATCGAAGGCCCCAAGCAATGGTAAAGTGCAAAGTTCATCTGCCCATCCCATGCCTCGTCAACTGCAGTCAGGTGCTCCGCAGCTTTCTCAACAAGAGGAAGAAGTATCAAGCCAAGAAACTGATCAGGAACACCCCCTTCGACAACATCTTCAATTCGATTGACAAGGAGAATAGCCATTACTATAACCAAAACAATAGATGCAGTGATAGCAATCATACATTCCGTCAGCGTAAATTTCGGCTTGGCTACTATAACATGCTTAGCTCTGCCAGCGGATTGGAGAGGTATCTTGTGAGTGCGGTGAAGAACTTCGGACAACATCTGTTGCTTCACCGAGTAGGGAGCAGGATATTATACATACAATCTGCATGGTGATCAAGATCAGCATGCTCATCTTGTTCTAGAACTTCATCGAAAATGCTGTGGTTCGTCCGTGCATTATACCAAATGTACCTTGTACAGTTAGCTGTCTCCGAGGACATACTGGGGTGGCAACTGACATGGCAAATGCGACAATCAACAAGATAGAGGTGATGCGACTTATTCCAAGTATGTCGTGCTCCAACTTCTTATCTGTGAAACCGTGATGTCGTGGAGGTCCTCTAGACTGCGGGATTGCAGAGCCTTTCAGCGCCGAATAAAACGCACTTGGTATAAGCAGCCCGAAGCCAGCAACAAGTAGCAGACCGTTCCCGACTTCGCTCACAGCCGCATGGAACTTCTGGACTTGCTGACGAATTCCGCCTACGGCAAAACACAAGCCCAAGCATAGCAGCAAGTTAGTGAGAATTGAGCCAAGGATTGCTGCCTGGATAATCGGGATGAGATTTCCATGCTCAGCTGCGTCTTCACCAGATCCGGCTTTGTGTTTGATGATTAAAATCAGAAACAGAACAATTTCAACTATTGACCCCTGACCACCGAGTCAGTAGTAGTCTTTTAGAAACACGTCAAGGATAATTTCCATCCTTTCCCTGTGCTTACAAAAGTAGTCTCAATGAGAATTCCTGAAACCTTAGGCATCTTTCGAGCAAATTCTTGGCCAGCAAACCCTAGAAGGTTCGCCGCAGGAATCATCCCGATGTAACTGACAATAAACACCCAGATGTTGAGATGAGGAGCCGTGAAATTCATGATAACTGCCAAGAAGCAAAACGGCCAGAGGAAATTGACCGCCATTGACACCTGATTTGAACTGCGCCAGAGAACGCTGAAGAAGTGCGCAGGGTTGAAGCCACGCCTGCCACTTTCCCCATCGGGGTGGATTGTCTGAGGGAGGAACCTGGGCAGAAGCGCATGTGTTTCCGTTGGTGATCCGGAATCCTCACGATTGCGAGCATGTTGATGGTCAGAAGAACTCATGATGGACTGCTGTTGCATGCAAGTGCTGGACGGGCGAGAAAGACAGGAAGGGAGAGTGATTTGAAGCTGAGGGGATAATGATTGGAGCGAATTAAATAACTAAAGTTTATGTCGCACTTGCCTTTAATCGTCTCCGCCTAGCGCGAAAGTATTATTATAGTATTTTTATTTAATAGCTTAGCTAGCTTAACTTTAAATTCTACTATCTTAAATAAATTTATTTTATACTCACGATTAATATATTAACTATATATATACTTAATATAATTTATACTTGTAATAGTATAGTTTAGTATTAGCTAGCACGTAAGTAAAATAACTATAGATCAGGTGATAACCTCTCTATTAGCGCGAATATTAAGCTAAGGAGCCCTTGATTTTATAAAGGGCGCTTAAGCCTATATAGATAAATTTACCGGGCTATTTCCGATTAGGCCTAATTATATTTAACGTAAAGCTTAATATAAACTCCTATAGTAGCGTAGAGTTATTTCCTTTTATATATAACTAAGTAAGTAACTATTAGTAAACTTCTTCCAAGTTAACCGAGCTTTACCGAGTCTTACTAAGCTTTACTAAGCTCTAGACTCTTTCTAATCGGATATACTAATAAAGAAGTAATTACTACTACCTTTATAATACTAGTAAACTTAGATACTTATTAATTAATTAAAAGATACTATTTTTAGAATTATTAGTTCTACTTATAATAAGATTTTAGTTAAAACTTAAAAATATAAGCTTGGAATTATATTAATATATTCTATAGCTATTTTAGACTTTAAATCTATAGCTAGTCTAGTGATTTGAGAGGTCTCTTATAGGTAAGGGTAGACTTCGGTATTTGAAATGTGGGGTGTTTAGAATTCTTGATAGGTATCAGCTAAAATAAGCTCAAAAATTCCACAAATCAGATTAATTCAGGTCGCCTGGTCCACCACCTACAGTGTTGCCAGACGAGGAATTAACACCAGCTGGCGAAGTAGGACCTTCAATAGAATCCTCCCTTGATTTTCCGCCGTTGGTGTTTTCAGAAGGGGTACTGTTATTGTCCTGGGGAGTATTGAGACCGGATGAGGAGTCAACGAGTACGTCGCAATTCGCCCTAGGATCATCTTCTCCATTGCTGATGGTACGTCAAATGGGAATACGAGCAGCGAATTCCCATAACTCCTTCACTATAGGCCATGTTGTTTATATCAACATCGCGATCCTCGCCCATTTCGACATCCTCGCCGTCATCACCAGGTTCAGCCACACTAGAAAGCCTACCAGTGAGCTCACTGGTAAGGGCACTAGCAGTCAAGGTTGCCCCAGCTTATTGGCTATGCCGTCCATCCTGTCCCTTGTGTAATGCGCCTCCTTCTCTAAAGTACTTAGACGCGAACTTGTTAGCTATTAGGTCCAAAAGCTGGTTCGCCCCAACCCAGCCATAATCAAACACAGATACTTAGCCAGTGGATTGATCGAAAGGGACATCGAGAGACTACAGAACACTTGGGATAGAAACAGTGTGATAGGGAATCTTGTAGGAGGCAATGTACTTTAGGGCATTAAGGTAGGTCGCAAAGGGGACATCCCAAAGAGACACGTCTCAAAGGAGATAGTCGGAGTACTCCTAGAGTACGAAAGCGGCCATTGTAAGGTCCGATCTTGTGATGGCTGTCCCCATAGGCTTTGTCTCCAAAGAAGAGGTAAGGCCCGAACGTGTAGCTACGTTTAGCGAACTTGTCGGTGATCTTTGTGGGTGTGGCATCCGGCTTAGGACCTATAATCGCCGGAATAAGAGGCTCCTCCTAACCTTTGAGCGTAGTTTGACAGAAGAAATTAGTCTTGAGAGCAATATATATTTGATGGCAAAGTGCACAAAATATTTGAATTATTGCCCACCTAGCGTATCGCCATCTTCTGAGCACTATACATGTGGAACCGTGCCGCAGCAGCAAATCCTGTAAAGAAGTATTGGTTAGCTGTAGAGTGGAAATCGAACACGCAACTACTGGCGAGGCAGCTCCTTCCAGCTATCAATTGGACTTCGTATGCGACGCCGGTAGGGCTCTTCAGAATGCTACGGATCACCTTGAATCCAGACAGGGTATATCGAGATTCGATAGAATCGTGCCAGAGGCCATATCAGGGTCGACGTCCAGCTCTGCGATCCATTGAACCCCGACCGATTCAAAGGAGAACATGACCAATTGTAATAACTCCTTCCGACAATAGAAATCGAGATCTGATGACACGGAAGCCGTGCCGGGAACAAAGTATTCTGCAGCAGCTAAGCCGGGTAAGAAGACCATAAGGGAGCGCATCATATCAAGAACCCGGGCAGGCTGGGAGAAGAATCTATGCAAAAACTTGCGTGGGTCAACACGCAGCTTGACGATTCAGCCTCCGCCTTCGTGTTTTCGTCGACTATTCCGGCAACCAGAGCTTGACAGGCGGTTATGGATATTGTAGGAGCGTTGTTGGCAAATTGTGCGATCAAGAGGGCAGTGGGATTCGAATTCAGGTTGTGGTCCATGTTGATTTGGTCGTCGGTAGGGAATGGAGTTGCCATGCCCCTAGAGTGATTGGAAGGTTTTGCTTTTGGCTGTAAACGGAAACAGCAACCGAATTGAAGTCTACTTCATGGTTAGGATAACAAAAAAACAATATAATTGGTGACCTACTTGTGAGGGATCAAATTGCTCCCAGTGCTATCGATACCTCCTTGCGCAGTTTTGAGCAGAAAACGTGAAGTTGTGAGGATTCTTCTCCATCTTTAATGCAAGAGATTGGTTACACACAGAGAGATGACTAAGACTCTTCCACCCTATTAGGAGACACCAATTGGTGCATCTGTCCAAATCTGCTGCTTGAACAAAACTTCAACAGCAGTCTGAACGCAGATCGGCATGGTCGCTTACTATCTACATCTACACGATTGATAGCATAGATGAAATGCAGTTGAAATAATGATATGAAAGATAATGTAACAATATAATGTACGGAGCTGCTGATGGTTCGCTTACCTTTGGGACAAAGAAAAATAAAACAGACCAATCATGTTTCCCATTCAATGGAGCGCCCGTGCCCAGCCAACAAACGAGCTCAACCTCGTGCCTTTCAACTTCCTCCGTCAAGTCAACATCAGCAGTACAGTAACAAGTGCATGGTTCGATAACGATGACTCGATTACTCCGAAGTCTGGATGCTTTAGGCAAGGCTTCCTCGGCACCACGAAACTTTCGCGACATGTGCCGCGCTCTTGATTCAGACTACGATGCTTTGCTGAACAAGTACGAGGCTGTCAAGAATGATCTCCAGGCCCTTTACGAAAATCCACTCAGCACCGTTTCCGTTCCAACACCATCAGTCTCTGATTACGCAAGGAACGAACGAAAGATTGTCGAGTTTTGTTTGGCACGGCTTTTAGAGCTTCAGCATTCCGGTATTCGTCACACCCCTGCAGTCCAAATCATCCTCGACGAGGTTGAGCAGGTCATATGGGACAACAATGTCTTTCATTCGACAGTTCCATACCCTCACCAAGCCGCCGAAGTCTACAGCTATACACTCGCTGAATGGCGGGATTGGGCTTTCGACGTCGCCAATCAAACCTGGAAATATTTTTGTGTCTTTTGGAGTTGTACTGGTCTGTTTGCAACCTTGGCGGTCTGCTACCTTCGAAGCCAATACCATAAGCGATTCGTCCTCCGTTGGATGTGCAATGTATTGGGGTTCTTACTTCTCACATGGGCACTACTGTACATCATCTTCCTTGTGTTTGGTTTGATGATCGGTGATGCTTTTGGCAGACTGCGATCTTTCTATTCTCCTCTAGGCTCTACACCAAAGACAACAGTGCATTTTGCATCTACACCAATTCACGAAGGCGTCTATCGAGCGGCTCAAAACACGATCTACATGACGGATCTAGCAGGGAATTTCTCCATCATCCCAAACCTCATGCAGCACTCGCGGAACAACATACTAAGTGCTGCTGATATCATTGCTGGATCGAAACTAGAATACAAAAACGTCCTAGCCGCAGAGTACTCCAAGCTTGTCGTGAACATGGAAGATTTGACTGAAGTAACCCGAAAATGGCACATCCAGGTGGATGCTCTTGCCACTCAATTTGAAAAACTGCTGTCCAGCGCTATCATGCAGATGAGTGCGATCAACCGTCCCGTGGATTTCAGCGATTCAATCCACGTCACCTTATCGCTTGCCTGCGGCGTGCAATGGCTCAATAATCCGAGATTGCACAATATACATCGGGGCAACTGCATGATGTGTGGAGCCCTTGTTGCCACGACTGTGGTCTCCTCTACATGTCTCCACACGTCCTTCAGCCATGTCCCAGCTGCGTACTGCTCCTCGTGGCTAAAGCACGTCCCAGGCCTGCAGCCGTACCTGGGTGAGATTGCAGACGAGAGGGTGAAATCAGTGCGAAAGCTTCGGAGGTTTCTGGAAAGTCTGGACGTGGACATGAGAGAATTGCTCACAGGTACGGACCGGGGCAAGGCTCTCTGTGAAATGACGGAACAGAACTTCCACCTTATCCGAGAGATCAACAACAGGAACGACAACAGTATCAAGGAGCAACTACATCTCGTGGAGCTGAGAAAGTGGCAATTGAAAGCTTGGTTAAGTTGGTTTGGGATCTTTCCAGAGCAGGGCGAGACACGCGCGGAGCTGCATGTGATGCACTACAACCTCAACCAGACGATAAGCCTCCACAGCGTTGCCTTTGAACTGTTCTCCCGGGCCAGAGACGTGCTATACACCTGGAAAGCCGATATGGAAGGAGTTTTGAGTAGCTTACAGAGATTCGAGCAGCTTGCTGGCGAGGGTTGGCGGGGGGCCTGGGAGCAGTGGCCAGATTGGGATGAATTGAAAAGGGATGTCGAGGGACTACAGCCTCTGGTAGCAGCTCTGGGAAGAGCTAATGCGCAGTTAGAGTCCAAGACGAAAGATAGCGAGGAGCGGTTCCGGAGGGCTAGAGAAGAATGCTTCGATGAGGCAAGAAAACCTCGTGAGGAGAATCCCACGTTCAACTGGGAGGCGTGCTATGATATCAAGAAGTTACTATTGATGTGAGAGGATGGTGGAAACTTTTGCGACTTGTCAAATGAGAGCACGTACGATTTAAAGAGCGTTGGGTACAGATGGATGTAGTTGAGATGATCATTTGTTTTTTTGTGCTTCCTAGCCTCAGTTATTAATATGCATATATATATAAGGCTATATCTATCTTATATTATACGTTTTATAGATCTTATTTTAAAAAATACTATTACGTGCAAGATCCTGATTAGATACGTCAGATTAGCGCAAGCTTACAAGCGATAATTCAACTTAATTAGCTAGATTATAACAAAGCAAGGTCCCCTAGCCTTAGAGCTTATAAAGGGCCGCCAGAGAAAAGACCTCGTCCTTCCTTACATTGAGCGTTTTTTCCGGAGAACGGGGACGCTGTCACGTGAAGGTCTGTGTGCATACCTCTTTACAGCTTTACCTTTACAGCTTTACAGCTCTCTTTACATATACACGCTTATAAAATAACGCCTATAGACTTCCTTACAAATCGTCTACGCTATTCCGACTGTAAATCCTTCCGCGAGATTACTAATTATCCCCTCTAAGGCAATAGCTATCAATTGTTAACGTGCCGCGTGTGTTAGACCTAAAAACACAAGTAGTACTATAAGAAGGCTAAGGGCGAGTTTATCTAAAAAAAGCACGATCAGCGAGTACTTTAAAGGCAAAAGAAAGGGATTTACATACTAAAGGAGCGCGCGAAGTTAAAGGCGATACATAAAGAGTAGGAAAAAAAAGACTAGCGTGTAAAGGTAGTGGTAACTACTTCTTTACTATACCCGATTAGGAAGAGTCTAGAGCTCGGCAAAGCTCGGTAAGACTCGGTAGAGCTCGGTTAACTCTGAAGGGGTTTACCGACAGTTACCCACTTAGTTATACGCAAAGGGAAATAGCTCTACGCTACTATGGGAGTTTACGTCAAGTTTTACGTCAAGTGTAATTAGGCCTAATCGGGAATAGCCCGGGGAATTTATCTATATAGGCTCGAGCGCCCTCCACGGAATCGAGGGCTCCTCAGCTTGATATTCGCGCTAATAGAGAGGTTATCACTTGATCCGTGGTTATTTCGCTCACGTGCTAGCTAACGCTAAACCGTGCTATTACAGGGGGTAGCTAAGATACTATCTAAGCTATCTAGGGAATACTACTTCCTAGGTATAAGGAAGGTAGTTAAAGATATAGTAATATTATATAATATATATATCCGGAATAAGGCTATATATTATACTCTGTATAGACTTATAAAGTCACTAATAATACTACCTCGCCTATAGAAATTAATCGCTTTAGATTTCGTAGTTAAGCTACTACTTTTAAAAGACCTAATTATAGGAATCATATATAACTCGATCTATATAATAACAGATAGGTTCATGAAGTACGTGTATATAATACTAGTACTTAGGATATAGGACACGCTTATAATAGTATAAGTATTCCTTAGAATAATCTTTATAAGCTATAGAATACTAGATAAGATTATCTTAGATAAAGATAAGCTCTTTACTTTAAAGTTCTAGAAAACTCTTATCACGCTCTTAGGAATAAAATAGAAAATATTAACTATATTCTATTTTTAGACTAATATATAGATAGAATAAATTAACTAGATAATAGAGACTTATCTTTAGTATTATATAAACTATAAGTAAGATAACTAGGTATAACTACTCCTACTTACCTAGTTTATATATAATAGCGCGGATTAAAAGATTATTAGAGTATTACTATTTTACGCGAATTATAGGTATAATCCTACGGTATATAATCTACTAATAACCAGTTAAGGAACCGCGTAGGAGGCTATATTATAGGCAGATAGGCTTAAGTAGCTCTATAAAGAATTATTAGCTGATATTCTCTTTATCGCGTAGAGATCTATAATCTACTATAATAGAAAGCGTAGTATAAGACTAATACTTAAGGAGGGGGATAAAGTCTACTTACTTAGAAGGAATATTATAATTAAATAACTAAGTTATAAATTAGATTATAAGAAGCTAGGATTATTCAGGATTACTAAAGTCAAGGGACTAGTTAATTATTAACTAGCTCTACTAAAGATAATAAATATCTACTTAGTATTCTATATATCTCTTCTTAAACTAGTACTACTAAGAGTACTACCGGCTCCTATTACTAAAATATAACCGATTAATCTGAATATTAAATATAAGGTAGAGGCTATTCTTAACTATTAGTATTTCTATAGTAAACTAAAATATCTAATTAAATAGAAAAGGTACCTATAATTAGAAAATACTTAGGAACCTAAATTTAACTTCCGCTACCTTAAGCTTCTATAGGGATTCTATTAAAGAAATCTAAGTTTACTTAGAAAGAAAAGGACCTAAGGTTAGGGGCCGGGCCCTTAAAGAAAGATACTAGGTAAGTATTAGGTTTAAAAGCAAGGAACTAAGAAGTAAGATTATCCTTAATAAGCTTAAAAGAAGGTATTAAAAGGCGAGTAAAGGTTATAGTTTTTCTTATCTTAAATTAATATATAAGTTATTCAGGAGTAAACTTCTTAATATACCCTAAAGTATTATAATCGTAACGCTTCAAGTGAATATACTTAGAGTATTATTTCAAAATAAATAAATCTAAGAAGTAAGTATAGGAAAAGCTATAGTAGAAGGAATAAGGCTTTACAAGTTATATAGTACACTTAATATAAAGTGCGAGCTAAATACTCTATTTTTTCTTTATCTAAGTAATACTTGATTTCTTTATAATACTAGATATAATAGATAAGGAAGATAGTTATTAGTAACTATTAACGTTTCTTAAGGTTATACTTAAGCATAAGGACTACGCTAAGCTAAGAGGGGGATAATATTACAGACCCCTTAGCGCTACAGTTTAATTAGTACTTATATAATAATAAAACTATTAGTAGTACTATAAGGGTATTAGTACTAATAAGAGAGCGGTACTATTAATAGGGTAGTACTAGCTAAGGAATAATATAGGATAAGCGAGTAGTACTACTATATACTCACGCTTCAGTAGTAATAGTTACCTAGATTATAGTAAATAATAAGTCACGTGATAGATCCCTAGATCCCTAGATCCCTTTATAAGAAAACAGATCTAAGGATCTAAGGATTTAGTATCTTAAGGGATCTAAGGCGAACGAAAGTTCTATATAAGACTAGTATATCTACTATTAGATAAGAGCTTTATACTTAACTTTAAATAGTATTCTAATACTTAGTAACTATCTTCTATCTATATAATATACCTACCTCTTAATTATTAAAGATTAACTATAGCCTTCTGTATTTATAGCGAGTAAATACCGGACCGTTACAAAGTATAACTAATTTAAGCTAGCCCTTAAATCCTAAGATATAATAGTTATTTATATACTTATTAGTCTTCTATAGATAACTAAACTACTATAAAGAGCTATAAACTTAATTACTTAATTTATCTGAGTTATTTATAAAGTCTTACTAGATTATATTCTAAAGATTACCTTGCTTTATATAAATAATATAAAAATAAAAGAATTAAGGTTATTTTATAATAATAAGGAAATCTTACTAGAGATTTAATAGTTTATTATAAAATATATTTAAAATCTAGATAAAGTTCTTATTTAATTTAAAAGAGTAAAAGTAATAGTTAGCTTTAAGTCTTAATACTATCTACTTAGACTAAAGATAATAGGATTTATTATAGACTATAATAAGAGATATTTAAAAATAACTAAAGTCCTTAAAATTTATAAATAGAAAAAATATAATAGTATTATAAAAACTTAAGTATTTATTAAGATTATTATTTACTATTAGATTTAGATTCTTAACTTCTCTATAATTACTATATTAATCTATACTATAATAAAGAAAAGTGTTATATTTAGTTAAAAAGATACTTAAAAGCTTATAATAAAATAACTTAAAGATATTCTTTTTAATACTTTAATATTAATTAAGATTGACTATAATATAAGAGTAAGGCTAATAATCCTTACTATAAATATAAGCTTAATTAAATAAGAAATAGTCTTTTAATAACTTAACAAAGATAAAAAGTATTACTTAGCTAAGTTTAAAAGCGGATTATAGAATATAATAAAGAGTAAGTATAATATAATAAAGTAGAAATATTAAAAAGTATTAAAAGCTATAAAGAAGATATATAGTGAACTTTATAAAGTCTATTTTATCTTTAAGACTAATATTAAAGTATTAATTTAATAGCTTAATAAAGTAGTAAGCGATTTATCTAACGCCTTTTTAATAAACTAAATTACTTAAATAAGACTAATAGACTTTAAATTTAGATATATTCTAAAAATAAAGAATATAGTAACTAATAGCTTATCTTAATAAAGAAAAGAATACTTCTTAAATATCATAAAGAAAAATAAGCCTAATATTAATAAATAAATTTCTAATAAGCTTAAAGCACTTTTTATCACCTTAGTTAGTAAAGAACTTATAAGCTAGTCTCACTAGTTAAACTATTAGATTTTATAAGACACTTACTTTAATAAATCAGAAGAGCTGGCTACCTTTTTATTAACTCTTAAAAAGCTTATTACTATTAAACTAACTAATTATAAAAAGTTTAAAATAAATATACTTTTATACTAAGTATAAGATAAGAACCTTTACTATTAAGCAGATAATAAAAATATGATTTAACTAGTTTTAGATAATAAAATAAAGTGATTTAAAGTAATTAAAGAGTATTATATAAAAAGCAGATACTATAGCCTTAAAAGGACTTTCTTTTAACTATCTAAGTAATTTTATTAAAAAGGATTCTATAAAGACCACTAAGTATTTTATAAAAGCTATAAAGATTATTAAAAATAAAAAGTAAAGTAAGAAGAAAACTTATTATTCCCTATTTAATTATCTAAAATATTTAATTATATTAGCCTTAATATTACTGAAGTTCCTACTTTAAATAATAAGAAGAAGTGTTTTATACTAACTAAAGAGAACTTATCTAGATAGCTAAAAAGAAGAGCCTTTATATAAGCTACTATAAAAGAGATTACTAAGTTTTTATAAGAAGATATAGTCTATTGTTATAACCTGTTTAAAAGACTTATAGTTAATAAAGAGCTAAAAAATAAGAATATTATAAAAGTATTTATAAGAA